AAAAAAAAAAAAAAAGTAAGGCCACTCCCATTTCTTTGTTCTCTGGCGTTGGCCTCAGGCACCCGCTCACCGGTCCTGCCACCCTGTTTCCCTAGTATCCAGGACTCCATGCATACACTGTGTCTGCGCTCTGGTCTGGATGTCTGGGGCTAGGTGTTCAGCAGTCCTGGGCTCCTTCTCCCTCCCACTCAGATCTCTCTCTTCCCGCTGGGAGCTGAGGGGAGGGGCGCTCAGGATCTGTGGGGCCGGGGCTTGTATCTTACCCCCTTCGTGAGGTGCTGGGTTCTCGCAGGTGTGGATGTGGTCTGGATGTTGTCCTGTGTCCTCTGGTCTCTATTTTAGGAAGAGTTGTCTTTGTTATATTTTCATAGATAAACGTGGTTTTGGGAGGAGATTTCTGCTGCTCTACTCACGTCGCCATCTTGGCTCCACCTTCTATTTAGGTTTCTTGTATTACAAAACATTCCCTCTCAAATAATGTGATATAGTAACTTGTTCTTGCCTGGACCTTCAGCGTGGTGGACTTACATAGTAAATGTTAACTGCTGAACTATCTAATTTGGAGCCTGCTGAGCATTCAAAACAAAAGTTAAGCGTGTTTTTGAGTTAGACTAACTGCAAAATTGTGGGTCTGTAATAGATGACTTTTTCTATATTTGTGTGTTTAGCTAGAGACTGTTTATTCTCTGGATCTGAATGTTCTGTGTGTTTTTCTAATTGTTCCAGATTTTAACTCTGTCAATGGTGTAAGTGTGGTCGGGAAGCAGTGACAACTGTAGGGACTCCCTTCGGCTTCTCCTTTTCTCTCCTCATTTCCCCCTCATCTCCCCTTCCCTCCCCTGCTCTCTCTTCCTCTCCCATTTGTAGTTTGCTGATCCTCTTTAAAAGGGGTTTTATTCTTCAGTTAATAAAGTTTTCAAAGGGAAGAAATGTGGGGGAATTGGCTGAAAAATACACACAGCCTCAGTTGATTGGGCATCCTGTTAATACTTACTGAACATTTAAGTTGGCAAGCATTATTTTCACATCACCAAATCCTGATTGTAAAGAGAAAGGAAACAGGAGATTCAAGCTCACAGTGGAAGCCCACACTTAGTTAACTTGTTACTTAAAAATAAAATTAAAAGATCTCTTAAGGAGCTAGGTTTCATCATGAAAAAGCCCCCAAAAGTTCTTCGTTTCTATTGTACAGTGTTTCTGAGGGCTTGATGTCAGAAAGCCACAGTCATAGGCCAGGGAGCAACAAGAACAGTTTTGCCTTCCTTTAATTTATTCTTAAAGCAACTGGAGTGCTTTCATTGCTAGTAGGAATATAAAATGATATAACCCTTTTAGAAAACTCTTTGGCACTTTAGTATAAAGCTAAATACATACCTGCCCCCATGAGCCAGTAATTCCACATCTAGGCATTTACCCAAGAGAAATGAAAGCATATGTCCATAAAGACTTGCTCAGAATATTCATAGCAGCTTAATTAAAAAATAACCTAAAACTAAAAACAACACAAACACCTGTCAATGGGTGAATGGATAAATAAATTGTAGAATATTACTCAGCCGTACAAAGAAATGAGATATGTGAATGAACCTCAAAATCATCAGGCTGATTGAAAGAGGCTCCACACAAAAAGAGTATGATTCCATTTATGTGAAATTCTACAGCAGATACTGTGGTGAAAGAAATGATCTGCCTTGGGCGGGGGAATGGGTTGGCCATGCGTCCACAAGTGAACCTTCTGAGGTAATGGAGATGCTTTATCTTCTTGATAGGGATGTGGTGTATATGTTTCTTTAAAACTCAAGTTTCCCCTTTCTTATAAAATCAGGATAATATCTGTTCCTTTCAGATACCAAGAAGTATCTGTGTTAAATGGTAAGAAGAACATCCTATCAGGATCAGGAGACCCAAGTTATAGTCTCGACTCTTCTGCTGGTTATGTGACCTTCTCTCCTTGTCTATAAAAGGAGGGTGATTCCTTTTTCTCAGGGTCAGTAAAAGGCTCAAATGAATCACCGTAGGAGACAAAAGCTGTGTGAACTTAAGCCACCTTCCAACTTCTTCTGTGTTTTATCTTTTCTAAGGCTCATTTAAATTCTTAAAATATTTTTGAAATTAGAATGTGTCTTATAGTTGACGACGTCTAAAAATTAAGTGGCAGAGTTTTTTTTCTTCTCTTTAGTGTTATATAAAATGACCTTTTTTTCTCGAAGTTGATGGCATCTTAAAAAAGTGACATCTGGATATATATTTTGTAGTTTTTGACATTTTAACAAATTCACAAGAACATAAAATATCTGATTTTCTCTGAGAAGAGAAATTTGTTGTGAACGAAGTTTGCCTGTAATAATTAATTCATTAGTAAAGTCCCTCCCTGACTTGTGAATATCCCATTTATATGCATGGTCCCCCCATGTCAGAGGAGCAGGGGTGGACCAGAAAGCACAATGAGGGGGGGGGTTCCCCAGATACTTCTCTTCTTGGTCGGCCCTGTGCCTTTGGTCTCTGCAACTGCAGAGCTGAGGATCCAGACCAGTTTTAGAAGCTGCTGCATTGTGAACATGTAGCTCATGGTGGGCCACTTAGTAAAAGGGTTGAAACACAGCCCTCCTTCCCATTCTGATTCTCCAGGCCTGTGTCTGCCTCCTACTAGAGTTGTTCAGATCCCACTCTTATCTGGCTGTCACTCCACTGCCTCATTCCCCTCTCTTGCCCTTCAAGATATGTTCCTGAATTATTGTTGTAGTGGTTATATTTCCAGCTAGCCCACCAAATCCTTTCTAACCAATACTGGGTTTGTTTGTAATGGAAATGTAGTAGAGAGTAGTTTTGTTGAGAATGTACTGTGTCTCAGCTGTGCTGTGTATGGCCTTTTAAGTTAACCTAACCACCATTCACCTTGATTTCTGTGGGGAAGTGCATTTTGAGATATAAAAGCCTACTTTAAAATGGAATTTTGGAATGCATCCCATTTGTTAGTTCAGTACTCTCTGTGTATTTGTATAGATCAAGAAGCTTTTATAATGTTTTCTTCTGCAATGTACTTAACTTTAATATACAACTTTCCATTCTCCAGGATGCTCAGGGAGTAGAGGAAAGAGAAACATTAGCAAGAATGGCAGCTAATGTTGAAAACACGGCGGCTGCTGACTCAGAGGCTTACATTGAAAAATACCTCCGAAGTGTGCTGGCCGTGGAGAACCTTCTCACTTTAGATCGTCTTCGCCAGGTCAGCCAACGGAACTGGTAGCAGTGGCACTGACCCATCCTGATTCTGTGTTTGACTTTCTGCAATTCACAGTATTGTTACATCTAAACTTTTGAATCATCTGTTTAAGTGGAGCATATTAATTTAGATTAAACTGGCTGGTTAAATCTTTGAAGAAACAAAAGCTACACTTAGAAAGTGACTTTTTCAAAGACACTTAATGGTATCTAGTTGTTTTGAAGTAATAGAAAAAATATTCAACTCTTACTGGCTAAGGAATTATTTTTAAAATTCCTTGGAACTGGGTAGTAATGTTGCTGAAGAAATACACAGTCATGAGGCAGAATGGGCCCTTCCTTGTGTACTGGCTGGACAGGCCTGCCGCAGCCTTAGTGTAAATCCTCGGAAGAGACAATAGAAATGGCAGCTGGGAATGAATCCTTCAAAGAACCCTAAGTGTCATTTGGTGTAGCAACACTGAGACTTTTTTTTTTTTTAATTTTTAAAAATTGTGGTATAATTTATATTACAATACAATAAAATGCGCAGAGATCTTAAGTGTTCAGCTCAGTTTCAGCAATTGTATACATTTGTGTAACCACCACTCCAAACACGTTAAGAACTGTTCCATTACCCAAGAGTTTCTCTTGTGCCCTTTTAGATGAGAAATTGCCCTAATAGACGCACTGCCTCCAAGGCTTTCTACCCGCTAGAGTGGCTTCAAAGCACTGCTCTGGCACAGCAGCCTATCCAGATTTTAGCAAATACACATTTTTGGACCTCTAGCACAGGGCTCAGGTATCAGAGGTGAGCAGTGCTGCATTTTGCATTTCTTCACATCTACCCCCCTAGTGTATTCGTAACTCATTTTTTTTTTTTTGAGAGGGCATCTCTCATTTATTGATCAAATGGTTGTTAACAACAATAAAATTCTGTATAGGGGGGTCAATGCTCAATGCACAATCATTAATCCATCTCAAGCCTAATTCTCGTCAGTCTCCAATCTTCTGAAGCATAACAAACAAGTTCTTACATGGTGAACGAATTCTTACATAGTGAATAAGTTCTTACATGGTGAACAGTACAAGGGCATTCATCACAGAAACTTTCGGTTTTGATCACGCATTATGACCTATAAACAATCAGGTCAAATATGAATATTCGTTTGATTTTTGTACTTGATTTATATGTGGATCCCACATTTCTCCTATTATTATTATTATTTTTATTTTTAATAAAATGCTGAAGTGGTAGGTAGATGCAAGATAAAGGTAGAAAACATAGTTTAGTGCTGTAAGAGGGCAAATGTAGATGATCAGATGATCAGGTGTGTGCCTATGGACTAAGTATTAATCCAGGCTAGACAAGGGCAGCAAGACATCCACGGATGCAGAAGATTTCTCTCAAAGCAGGGGGGGTGAGGTTCTGAGCCTCACCTCTGTTGATCCCCAAATTCTCACCTGATGGCCCCCCTGCGACTGTGCCTGTCTTAGGTTGTTCCTCCCTTGAGGAATCTTACCCGTCTCTGGCTAACCAGTCATCTTCCGGGGCCATACAGGGAAATGTAAAGTTGGTAAGTGAGAGAGAAGCCATATTGTTTGCAAAGGTTAGCTTTTTACTTCTTTGCAGATTTATGCCCTGTGGCTTCTATGCCCAGCACTTGTCTCGAGGTATCTTTACCACCTGGAGGAATTATGATACTCGGTAAATTCGATATGAGGCACGAATTCTATTTAAGGGTTGTAATTAGGAAGGAAGAAGAAAAGCTATAGATGTAGCATATGAAGGAAACTTGGGAGGATTGATTATTTCTTTGACATATCTTCTTGTATAGTACCTTAAGTATGTATAGGTTTTAAACTACTAACTAATTTGCACACACATATTAACATAATAGGAATACGGTGACATAAACTAAGCAAATCTATAATTACCAGCTATCTCCAGTGAGGCCAAGAAAACCATTTAGGCACCCTAGGCATTTGTGAAAATTTATCTATGATATGATGGATATTTTCCAACTGTACTTGAACCATCAGACAAATTAAAGCAGCCCATTTCTGGGATCTGTTCACATCCCATATGTTCTTTTAACCATAGATAGTCTATAGTCATGAGATTTTGGGGTGCTACAACTTGCACCCCTCCCAACTCCTGGTTGAGTTCCAACAGTACAGATCCGGTCAAATTCGTTGTCTCACTGTATGCACATGCCAGCCTAGACATCTCCCTCCTCATTCCAGTGGCAAGTCCAACACTGAGACTTTTTTTAACCAAAGATACTAATGAAAAATAAACGTGAATGGTCTAATTTTCATGCTCATTCTCTTGGAACTAACCCTTGGCCAGCTTCAAAGGGGATTAATAGATAAGGAAAATAGATAAAAGAAGAGCATGACCTAGGTAATCTGTCTGTAGTATGATGAACTTTGACTATTCCCCAGTGACTGTAATGGGGTCATGCTGTCATGTGGGGGAACAGCCATTGTTTAAAGAACTGGGAGTGTGTGTGTGCAGGGGGTGGCTCAGAGCCTGCTGCAGGCGCTCCTGCTCTGGAGCTGTGTCTCTGAGGTATCTCTGTCCTCTGTGTGTTTTCTGGCTGACAGGAAGTCACAGTGAAGGAACAGCTGACAGGCAAAGGGAAGCTGAGCAGGAGGAGCATTAGCTCTCCCAGTGTGAACCGGGTGAGTGCCCGCCTGTCTGCCTTCCCCTCCTCTCTTCCCTTGGACAGCTCTTCCACCCTTGACCACCTGGGATGTCAGCTCCTCTTCTGCACTGATTGAAGAGCCCCTTTCTCCTCCCTGTAGCGTCTGCACCTCGCCCTGTTGCCGTCCTCACTAATATGTGGGGAAAGTACCTGTTTAAGTGCCTCTCTGGTGTTTCTCATTTATCTTTATATCCACCAGTACCCAGCACAGTGACCCTCAGCATCCAGTGGTGTGCGTTGAACTAAAGCAAAGCCAGCCAAGTGCCTGGGGCGAGCTGCTTGAGTTTCTGGGCTTAGTTAATTACTTTTAAATTGACAAGTCTGGACTAGGTTTACAAACTCAATTGTAAAGGCCATCTAGGGTAGATAAATTAATAAAATAAGGTAGGTTTGTTTCATAACAGTGTCTTAAATTTTTTCAAAACACATAACTTATGTGCTTATTAATAAGCATACAAATAATTCTTCACAAAGAAATATCCTTGTGATGTGATCCTGTGATTTATCTCTCTTTCCCTTACTTTTGATAAAGGTATGGAAATGAGAAATATGACACCTTTGTGTGAACTTTACACCAAGAAAAACCATGATGCAAGCCTTGTAGCAAAGAGCAGCTTGACCCCTCAGCCTTAGTGTTTGAGAGGCAGTAGTGGAAAGCGGGAATGCTAACGAACTGCAGGCCACGCATGGCCTTAAGTGACTGGATGACATCACTCCTGGTCTCAGACTGAGAGACGGGGAATGTGCTCTCAGACAGCAAGGAATACCACTTCAATTCAACACAAATATTTTCTCATTCCTTCAGAAAATAATATATTAAAAAGTACTGAAACATGCTGAGCTTTGGCCTTTAGAATCCTATGGTTTAAAATAAATAGTTTGTATGTAATACATTTGCTACGAATACCCAGAGAAAGGAGTTGTAAGATGAAAACACGGTAAGATAGCCAGTGACCCAGTGCCCTTTAGATAGAAGGGGACGAACACATGAAGTGTTTGGTCTAGTCCACCCTGTCGTCCTCTCAGTGTAAACTGGGTATCTAATCTTATACAAACTTCCCATCAGAAAACTGCTGTTAACCAGTTCAGTTAAAGAACAGCATCGTGCCCTACGACGACGCCCTACAGGCCACTAGTCTGGTGCACAGCTTTGGTCTTGACAGCCTCTCTGCTGCCATCCAACTTTAACATTCTGTGGATTCCATTTTCAAAGTCAGGTATTTCCAGGACCATAGAATTTAAGTACATTTATGTACTGTTACCCATAAAGCACTAATTCCCTTCTATTTCTTCCTCAGTTGTCTGGCAGCCGACAGGATCTTATTCCATCCTACAGTCTAGGCAGAAACAAGGTACGTGGTCATAACCATTTTCTGTCAGTCTTAGACCTACTTCCCCGTTCACTTGCGCCTCTTGAATATCACACACTAGTTTTACCTGCTAAAATTTCTCCCTCTCTTCTGTGAAATTTATTGAAAGGTGTTTAGAGGTGATATCTTTTCCATCTGCCAGATAAAACAAGGTTTATTAAACCTTCTTATTACTCTCCTTTTTAGGCATTAAAAATTTTGTTGCTTAAGTTCATATTTCTCTTAAAAATAATCTCCCTGTCTATGTCAGAAAAGGAACTTCACATCAGATTTTAATAGTAAAATATTGATGTAATGATTGAAAATATATGATGAATAGGAAGATTATATCTAAAATTTAGTAGTATTTGCTAGAAGAAAGAAAAATAAGCAAACAGAAATGTTGTCAGCTGGAATTTATTCACTTGTCAATTTAGCTTTCTCCAATTTAATTGAGTTTTAATCATAGGTAATTCATTGCCATTTATTTAAAGGGATCACACTTGAAATTATTGTACCTAGATGTCACATATCATAGTTTTGTGCCCAACATTCTTTGAAGGACTTGTTTAGATGCCAGTACTGTCAGCTGTGGGCACTATGCCCCATATTGGTGTTTTAACCCTTGAGGAACTTAAAAGTGAGCTGTGTCATACAAAATGGTCCCATATCAGGGAGTTGTTTCAAAGTAATCCCTGGGGGGGAGGAATAGGGGTGGAGATAAAAGAAGACTGGCTATTTATTGATAATTATTAAAGCTGAATGAGACTCATTATTGTATGCTTTCTATTGTTAATTATTCTCTATTCTGTTTCCTCATCTGTTTAAAATTTTCCTTATGAAAACCTAAGAAAAACAGAGAAGCTAATGAACAATTAGACTAATTTTTAAGGTCTAGTTTACTAGTAGCTTGCCTGAAATAATAGACTTTATATCCTGTCTCTCTCTATATGCTATTTTTTTAGGCAAACTACTAGTAACTAGATTACATCTTAAAAATGAGCCGTGTGTGTGTGTGTGTGTGTGTGTGTGTGTGTGTGTGTAGACAACTGCATTTCTTTCTAGCTCATTCAGTGATCCCCCGCCACGTCTCTGAAAGTGTGCTAAGGTTTAGTACTTCTTTATACCAGTCCAGACGTAGGTTTGATTAGCTCATAGATTGAGATTACCTGAACAAAGCAGAGTTTTTGGAAAATTGCTGTGTCCTTATTTTTAAATGTAAATAAACAAAATATTTTAAGGAAAATATATTTATAGGAGGAAGTGTGACTTCCTATGCTTTTTGGGAAATACATGTAACCCAAATCCTCAGTTATGAGTTCCTTGAAAGAAGTAGCCAGAATTTCTTCAGCTTTTCTATCTCCTCCCAGTTCCTTATATTTAAATGGAGAAAATAATCAAAACTAATAGTATCTGCTTGAAAGAAACCGTGCTTCATGTACACCAAACAGCTGGAGTGGGAACCTGGATGCTGTAAGGGAAGCATGACCAGGTAGAGGGGGGAGAGCACGGAGGGGGGCGCGGACTCCCGGACAGGCTTACTCAGGGGTCGAGAGGCTGCCGAGGGAGAGAATCCCCCAGAAACTTAATGTGAAAGGGCGGTAAGGAAGGCCTTGGAGCAGCAGCCTGGACAGGGCAGGGGGTGCTGAAGGAGCTGTGCTCCTGAGCATGCGCCGTGTGGGTGCAGTCCAGGGTGTATTGTGGGGTGGACCCCAGAGAGGCGGGCCTTAGTTAGAGCGTATAGCCTTACGTACCAAGGAGTCATGGGGAATGGGGTAGCCTCTGAAGAGTTGGAGTTAGGTCTAGGTGTAGGTGCAGGTTGAGGATATGGTTCCGGTTAGAGTTAGGTTTAGGGCTTACTGTGAGGGTTAGGGCTAGGTTTAGGTTTAGGGTTATGGTTAGGTGTGGGTGAAGGTGAGGGTGGGGGGTTAGGGGTAGGGGTTAGGATGATGTTATGGTTAGGGTTAGAGTTAGGATTATTATTATTCTAATGGATATATTCCAAATGTATGCAGGTGTCTATGCAAGAGTGTGAGAGAAATGTTTGTGGGGTGGAGAGCTCAGGTAGGGGAGAAGATTTGGCAGTGGGAGGGAGAGGAAGAGAGATTCAAGATATACGAAGGAAATAGAATCTCTAGAGCTCTGTGGACTTGAAGAGTGAGGCGGAGCAAGGGAGGAGATCAGGGTGACGTCTGGGTTTCTGGACAGCAATTCAGACAGATGGATTGTGGTAGGGGCATGTTTGAGGAAGAAATGATCAGCTTGGTGTTCGCCATGTAAGGTGTCTGCCAGTGCTGGTGTCTGAGAGCCTGGGCTGGAGGCAGGTTTGGGAGCTCAGGGCTTGGTTGCAGCGGGGTGAAGGGTCAGATCCCAAAGACACAGCCACGAGGGCCTGATACTAATTCTCACCGGCACGTGCAGGGAGAGAGACACCGGCCGAAGGACTGAGCAGCAGCGTGCAGAGGGGCAGACACACCGCAGGGAGAGTGGCTGGGGACTGGGGAGGAAGGGGTTTCAAGGGCTCCTTCCGGGTTCCTCAGAGACCATAAGATGAGGACTGAGAAGACTGGTTTTGGATGTAACAGTAAGAGTTTATTGGAGAACTTCCCAGGGCAATTTCTGTGGCAGGGTGGGGAGAAGTTAGCAGGAGTTGTCATACTAAATGAGTGAATAAAACATTACCCATTTGTTACTCTACCAGGACCTTCCTGTTTTTAGTCACTTGATTTCTTAGGGTCTTTGGGTGACCTCTAAAGATGAGGAACGTCTGATCTCCACCCTCCCAGATTTTACCGAGGTCATGGTGCCTTCGCAGCAACAGAATATGGCTCCCCCCACTCACCTCACGTGTGTTTTGAGTTGTTTCATGCACCCCAGAAAAGCCCAGTACCCCTTCCTCCCAATGCAGCAGTTCACCATCTTCCTCACGATCCGGCCTCTCCCCTGCCTCCCCACCAACAGGGGCCCCACCATCTGTCAGAGAAAGCAGAAGGCGCCAGCTGGCCAGTATCACTCAGCCCCAGGGCAGCTGTTCCCTCTTCCTTCGATCTCTTGGGTCCCGCGGGCCCCCAGGGGCGACGGCAGAGCTGGGCTCCTGGCGGCGGCTCGGCGGCGTCACTGTGGGCATCATTTGACTTCTCCTTTGGGTCCAGATCTGTGGGTGAAATAAATGTCCACATATGAAAATTAGATACTGTTTGCTTTTCACCAGGGGGAAGGTAGAGGAAAACTGCTCTAAGACAGGTCTTCGTGGATAGATCTGTTTAATGAAAAGGAAGTGCAGGTAGTAGAGGGTTATAACCGTAATGTAGGAAAAAAAGTGGGAAGAATACTGAACATAGAGGATTTGATTCCAGGCTCAATTCCTCATTATCAGATGAGGGGCCCTTCAGTAGTTTTATTATCTAAAGTAGAGCATCTTAAAAGATTTTTAGGGAAAGTAAGTATTTTAAAAATGCCATTTTCTTACTAGTGAGAAAAGAAACATTTCCTCCACTAATAGCAGGAAGGAACAAAGGCCCTCCCTGTGGCCTTTCAATGAAACAATGAAAAACATCTTCAAATATGGCATTGCCTTGAATTCAAAATGTGTTATTAATGCTGCCCATAATAGATTTCCTCAGAGTTGGGTGGTGTTTAAACTAACTGACATCCAGGTTATCCAAATCCTATTAAACCCCTTTACACAGAAGTGGCACTTAGACGGGAAATGATGTATGAACAAGGGTGTCCACAGCAATGTTGTTTTTAACGGCTGAGGATTGTAAACAAACGGAATGTCCGTGGGTTTGGTTAAAACCTGGACACACACATTCACACAGTTAAATAAATTATATTGTGCAACTGTCAAAATAATTAGTAACCCTTCCAGGTACTAATAGGAAAGATGAATAGGATATACTGAGTAATTAAAAATGAAGTACAGAACAGCATGCTACCATTTGTGTCATACAAGGAAGGGGGTCAAGAGAGAAGTGTATGTGACTGTTTATAGATTTGCTTGCATATGCGTAAGAAACCCTACAAGGATGTACAGGAAACTAATGCCGTTCATATCTGCCTGGGGAGAAGGCACAAGTGCAGGTGGGGTAGGGATAGGAGATCTTTCACTGGATGCCTTTTTATTATTTGGCTTTTCGATCATGTGAACAGATTACCCATTTAAAGATTAAATAAATTAAAATTAAAATTAAAAATTGTCTTCTCTTTTAAGTAATTAGAAGTTCCATTCTCTTGTTTGTAGTGGTTTGAGAAGGTCTCCAGTCACTTTATCTGTAACAATTTGCACACAAAATCTGAAAAGACAGGTTATCAAAGAAATTGTTTTGGAATATATCAGAGACTCATGTTTTTTTTCTTTTCTTTTGGGGAATTCCTGCATTCTTCAGTTTTCAGAGATCCAGGGAGAGGTAATTGATCCATTAGGTCTTCCTAATGAGTGGGATACAAGTACTATCCTACTATCTATCTATCTCAAACTTCCACGCTTGCTTTTACCTTTTTTCACTGACGATAAGAATGAATTTTTAAATGTAGGTTTTATAAGATGACTAAGTTTGACACTGTACTATATTTTTGCAAAAATAACTTTGATGGTCACTATATATGATTCCTTTTACATGTTCCTTCTTACCTGGGTCTATGGTTGTAAAAGCATCTTGTCACGAGACAAGGCATCAAGGCATCTTACTGATTTAAAAGGCTCTGGAATGTGAGGAGTTGGAATTAATTCATATAAAGCAAATGATACAAATACGTATTTGCAAAGATGTAAGATGTCCTTTTCTCAAGCTTGGGGCAGAGGGAGGATAAAGTGGCAGAAGTGCCTGCACATTCCTCCGACCTCGCAGAGCTTTGCTGAGCAGGACTATCTTGGTTTCTTTGCATCAAAGTACTTAAAGTACAAGGGGGTTGAGTCAGTACAATAATTTTAATCTGGACTTAATGATGCTTAAAATGATACAAAATGTCTTTTGAAGTAATTGAAAATTACAGTTACATTAGTTACATCTACCTTGCAGACTTGTTTGGGCCTATTTCTGGGTTCTCTGTCCCATTAATTTTTGTGTCTATCCCTCTGATCTTGATTATGACATCAGAATGACAGACTACAGAATTTGATGTGCTGGGTCAGTCACAATAATGTCAAGAAGCAGGAGTGGCTGCGGAGCACGTTCAAGTCTCCTTTTCCTTCCTGATTTTCAGTTAATACCATGGCAAAGATTAGTCAGTTGGGAGCAAAGTGACCCTAAACAGTGTGGCAGGGGGGCAGGAAGGGCGAGTCTGATAGGATCAGGGCCCTGGGGAAGACAAGAGGAGGTGGTAGGAACTAAAAGCAACCTCCCGTTTGCCTCTAACACCTTAATGGGCCAGCCATGTTTACTGAGGCTCACTACATGCTAAAATTGGGATTCTTTTACTGAGCTCCACCAAGACTGAACTGGTGAACCGATTAATCTTAAAAAGACAAATTGAACTTGATTGTTCCCAACTTTCAAATTCACCTTAGGCCCTATAAGAAGTCATTCTTGATAAGCTTTTCAATTAAAAATATTAAATATCCCTAGTCACAGTGATGTTGCTATTTACTGTTCCTGGATATTTCATCATTATTATAAGGTGATTCTTTTATAGATAAAGTGGAAAATTAGCAAACTTCTTATGACCAGTTTACCAAGATGGACTCATTTGGGTGCAGAAATAATTTCAGCAAATGTTTATTTTTCCATCTAAAACTTGGCTGTGCATTGAGATCTTTTGCAGTGCAAAGAACACTGTCAACATAAACATGTTGGTATTTCTGAAGCCATTTTAGGTGGAACTATCATTTTTAATAAGTTAGTAAGACAGTGTGTTTGTCATCTTTGCATCAGTTTCTGATGCAATTAAAAGTAGCCCAGAGCCTAAATGAATATTCATTTAATGGAATTGTGTGTTTTGGCTACATCCCCTTCCTAAAAACTACAGTTCTTTAGTGGGCTCTGGTAAAGCTGATGCCAGCTATGAGTCACTTGTTCTTTCATTGCATTAGAAGCCACCTTTGGACCTGGAATGTCACTGGCACTTGTCTTTATTTACCACTTTGTCACTTTCCCAATCACAAACAGACCTCCTTACGGAAAACCGAGACAATCTGTGTCTGGCAGAAGGCTGCAGATGCAGGCAGGGCTCACACCAAGCTCTCGCGTCAGCTGAGCACCTCCCATGCCTGTCTCTGCTCAACTTTACCTTAAAATTTGGTGTTAGCTCCAAATGATGGCTGTCTTGAATAGGGATTTCTTTGACTCCTGTTAGCACAGGCGACCCCTAATAAGTATGTGAATCTAGTTTAGGGATCTAAAACCGAGCCGGAGTTTTCTCTCCTGTGCCTCTTCATCTTGGCTGGCTCTGAAGTTTAATGGATATGCAGGATGTTAGAAACAGATCACAGATTGATCTCTCCAGATTCCAAGTAGTGGGGTGTAGGTTCCTGTGGTAGAAGTAAAAAAATAGATGAAAATGTGTCACTCTCACTTTCAGAGCTGAGAACAAAAGGTCCAGTGTCCGGCCAAGTCCTTTTTATTCACTGTCCTGCACTCATCTTCCTCTGAAGTTTCTTAACTGGGCTGCTTCCGTCCTACCCTCCCCCAACATTTCAGTAAAGAGAGAATAACTCTGGAACAGCCAAGCAGGTGAAATTTATTGGAATGACCCCGACTGTCCCTGGGGGGCAGTGTGTGCAGCTAGACCCTAGAACACAGGTTTCGTCTCTGGCAAGACAACCGCCACATCCTGCAGGGGACAAGAGTACCATGGCCGATGCTGCGGCGCGTTTCCCTGGAGGTCTGCAGGTGTCGGAGAGGAAGGAGGAGTGTTGTGTCCTGTTTACCATCCGGATCTGCTGTTCCTTCTGACGCAGAGCCTGTTCTGTCCCTGAGCAACTTGAGACAGTGTGTCCTTGTCTCTAGTTGCAGGACCTGGGGACAGTGAGCACTGAGACTCCTCCGGGTGGGGTGCCGGCTGAGGCGACAGGTCGGGTGAGCTGTGTCGGCCCTGCCCACTGTCCAGCAGGGCCAGCCGTCTGGCTGAGGCGGTGTGAGGACTGTGCGCATCTTCACATGTTCTCGCTTGAGATATTTGACTCCATGAGACAGTGAGTCATCGCCCCTGTTCTGATTTGGTAGGAATGTTGGATGGGAAAAGTCCATCAAGGCCCCGCGGGCGCCTTGGGGAAGAGGCGACACCCACATCATTTGCCATTGGACAATTATTCACCAAACAGTCGAGGTGCTGGCTCCAAGTCAGCTACTTAGTTTCCTAAGGAACAGAGAACCACTGTGTCAGCTGCCAGACAAGGCAATGAAATCATTCTCCAACTCAGTCAAGTGTCTTCCGAACCACCTTGCATGAGCTTACATAGCGCTGTAAGCAGATCCCGAGGCTTTCCTTCCTGAGACGGCCCGGAGAGCATTGGCCTTAGCAGCCCCCTGATTGTGGCACCCCCGAGCTGCAGCTTCCCACACAGACAGGTACATTGGAGTGCAAAAACGTCAGTCAACATTCCAGTATGTGGATCAGTGGGTGATGTGCAGAGGCACAAATGCGTCTTCAGTGATGGACCTGGGCGTTCACGGTCCCCCTGACCACCTCATTGTGTCCCTTCTGTTTCCTTGCTTCGTGATGCTAAACGTCATACCAGTTTTTAAAATGGCGAATGCTGGGGGTTCCTAGGGAGAAGCAGCTTTCTCTGAGGTGAACAGGAGCCACATCACTTAGGGCTTATTGGTTTTATGGTCAGTACTTCGATGACTGCTGAAAGCAGATAGGTTTCCAACGCGCGTCTGAGCCTCGGAGGCCTGGTCACCTCGGTCCATTTAGGGCCCAGTAGAGCTCGCTTTGGAGGCCGTTCGAGTTCATTGTTAGGGTCGCTCATCTGTGGAATAGTAGCTCAAACTAATATAAAATGCCAGCGCTTAACCTGAGGGAAAAGGAAGTCAGAGGGCTCATCAGGGGGTCAGATGGGAACGTGAAGCCTTCACGAGGTGTCCTCTCATCTCCATTGCTGACTTCGTGCTGGTGGCAGTAGGCGGGGGTTTTCTCCTTTGCTAGACGGGATGGACTGATTTTAAAGTGCTCTGACCACGTCACGGTTTTTCTGGCTCAGCACAGGTGTTTGAATGGTGGGTCGTCCCATCACCTGCCTGGCACCAGGGTGTGCTGTGCAGTGAAGTCTCCTCAGTGGGAATTTACAAGATACATTGAGAGGAAAACAAATGTGGCTAATTCAGAGACTTCCATCATTGAGAACTTGGGATTATTTGATTTGGGCTTAGTGGGAATTTATGTTTAATGTCTATTAAAAGGAAGAGGCTTGGCAATATACTGTGCTAGAATTTTTACTTTCAAGAACAATGTGGGAATGGGTGGAAAGGTAAACTCCTGGAGAGGAGAGGAGAGACAGCCGACGACATTAGACTTGTTCCTGGTTTCGGTCGAGCATCTGCCGGGAAAAAGGGTATCTTGAGGCAGAAGAGCAGCAAAGGGAGGATTTCAGAAGCGTTGTTACAGATGCATATTTTGTGGGAAGCACCACTCTGTGCTAGAAGGACTGTTAGGAGGGAACCGAGGAGATTGTAAATTGTAACTGGAGGGGATAGCCAGACGTGAGGTGTTATTGTTATTAGGGATATTAATGCTGTAAAGGTGAAACGTCTGAGAGGAAAAATATTTTAAGTAAATTGATCATGTCCTATAAAGGGAATAAATCTTTAGTAATGTATAACAATATTTTTCTTAAGTATCTTCAGATTCTTTTTTGTTAATTGACTGATTTGAATCAAAATTACCAATTTTGTCCTTAACAGGGCCGGTGGGAAAGTCAGCAGGATGTATCGCAAACCGCAGTTGCCGGTGGGATACCTCCAGTTGCCCCTTCTTTCTCTGACTGTCCCCCAAATAACCATTCTCCTGATCCAGGTAAATTATATTTTCATTTATCAATCATTGTCATGAAATTTGAGCATCTTTCAGAAATAGTTTAAGTCAAGATTTCATCAGGTAACCAGTACCAACCAGTTAATACCCATCTAATTTTTTGTTTTCTTGACTTAACATGTTGAATTATATTGATTTTCGAATGTTGGATTTCACTTGCATTGCTGTGATAGATACTGCTTAATCATGATGTGAAGTTCTTTATATTTGATTTCATATGTTAATATTTTATTAAGGATTTTTATGGATACCTACTTTATTTTTCTCATAATAATGTCTTTGTTAGGTTTTGGTATCATGATTATATTGCTTTTGTAAAATGACTTGGAGAATATTTCCTCGTCCTTTTATCTGAAAGAGTTTATATAAGCTTAATATTACTTCTACCTTAAATGTTTTTGACAGGATTCACCAGTGACACCATTATCTGGGCCTGTAATTTTTTCTGTGGAAAGATTTTAAATTCTGACTTCAATTTCTTTAACTTTAATTAACTTTTTGTATTTTCTTGAGTCACTTTTCATAAGTTATGTGTTTCAGGAATTCCCTATTTCATCTAAATCAAGTTTATTTCCATAAATGTTACAGTGTGTCTTTATTGCCCTTTTGATGTTTATAGGATCTGTTGTGATATTCCTTTTCATTCTGATAGAGATAATTTTTATTACTTTCTGTTTTCTCAAATATTTTTGAGACGTGTTTATCAGTTTTCTTGGTCTTTTCATAGAACCAACATTTGGTTTTATTTTATTGTTTGTTTTCTGTTTTCTTGATTTCTATTTCTTTCTGCACTTCACAGATTTTTGGCATGCTGTACTTTCATTATCATCCTATTCAAAATATTTTCTAATTTCTCTCTGATTTATTCTTTGACCTTTGGGTTACTGGTAGCATGTTAATTCATCTTCATTGGGCGAGGGTGTCTTGTTGATTTCTTATTTATTTTCAGACTCTTTAGTATTTTAGTCTTTTGAAATGTTTGAGACTATGTTCTTGGTGAATATCTTACATGTGCTTGGAAAGAGGGTCCATTCTGTTCTGGGGCAAAATGTTCTGTATCTGTCTTCTGTAGTTTACTAATTAATTTTTTCCTCTTCTATCAATCACTGAGAGAGGGCTTTGAATCTCCAAATGCAATGGTGAAAATTATCCATTTTTCTCTTTAATTATAGCAGTTTTGCATCATTCACTTAGAAATTCTGTTGTTAGGTATATACATATTTAGGATTGTCATTTTTCCTGATGAAGTGATATTTCTGTCATTATGAAATGTCCCTTTATATTTCTAGTGATATTCTTGCTTTGAAATCTGTCTTACTTGATATTAATACAGCCATGTCAATTTTCTTTGCTTGTTGTTGTCATGGTGTATCTTTTTCTCAGTTTTTAGCCTATATTTGTCTTTAAATTCAAGGGATTATCTTGTAGATAGCATAGAGTTAGGTCTAGCCTTTTTTTTCTATGTAGTCTGACAATTTCTCCCTTTTAATCAGCATGTTTAGTTCGACACCTCATATTATTACTGTCATGTCTGCAATGTTGTTCTTGGTTTCTGTTTGGCCTTTCTGGTTGTTTTTTCTTTTTCATTATTCTTTTTTGCCTTCTTTTGGGTTAGTTGAAAAATATTTTTCAGTATTTAGTTTTACTTTCTCTTTTGACTTTTTGGCATTCCTGAATTTGTTTGTTTATGTATTTAAACCTATGCTCAAGGATTCTAGTATGCATCCTTAACTTATCACAGTCCACTGAATTTTTGTTGTTAACAGTTGGATTATGACATAATTAGGTATATTTTTCTCCTTGCTTGGGTTTCAATGATGTTCTTGGATCTGTAAGTAATTTTCCAAAAAATTTTTGAAGTGCTCAGCTATTATTTCATTAAATTTTTTTCCCCTGGCCTTCTCTCTCTTTCTACTCCTGGGAATCTAATTATACACATGTGAGATTGCCTAATATTGCCCTGCAAGTCACAGAAGCTTGGTTCTTTAATTGTAATTTTTCATCTTTTTATCTTATTCTCATTTCTTTGGGTTTGATAATTTCTCCTGCCATTTCCAATGATCTGTTAAGCACATCAGAAAATTATTTATTTCAGTTAGTAATTCTTTTAGTTCTAGAATTTCTACTTGTTCCTTTTTGTATAGTTTTAATTTTTCTGTTGATATTCACTATCTGTACATTTGTGAAAAGCCTATTGTTCTTTACATCCTTGGACCAATGTGTAAAAGCTGCTTTAAAGTCTTTATCTGTTAAATCCAGCATCTATACCCATCTCATGGTCTGTTTCTGTTGACTGTTTTTTCCCTTGACTAGGGGTCCTAGTTAATGAGTTTTAACAAATGTACTTACCTGTGTAATTTACACCCCAGCCAAGATATAGAAGATTTATATGACTCCAGTTATCCCCACAGTCAGCCCATAGTTCTGGTTTCTATTATTTAAGATTGGTTTTGCCTCTTCTACAATTTCACATAAATGAAATCATAAAATATATAGTCTTTTTGTGTTTGGTTTCATTTGCTTCAGATCATCCGTACTGTTGCATGTATTGATGATTTATTCGTTTTTATTGTTGAGAAATACTTCACTTTCACAATTGACTTTGTCACACTTTTTAATCAGTTCTCCTGTTGATAGAAGTCTGGTTTGTTTCCAGTTTTTAGCTGCTTATGAATAAAGCTTGTTCTTGTAGAAGTCTTTTTGTGAAAATTCCTCTCGTGTAAATTCCTAGGGTTGAAATTACTGGGTCAGAAAGTACCACCATGTTTTAAAATTCTATAAATTAAAAAAATTATAATCATTGCTTCTTTAGTACACATTTACCACTTTGCTTTGCTCTTCATTGCTTATTGCACCCCACTCCATTCTTGAGTGAATTATATCCAGCATTAGTGTGTTTATCAACTGTCTTTTAGTGGCATACTGTTTATTTCTTTTATATGTTTTCATTTGGTTCTCACTTCAAAAAATATTTTTACCATGGAAAATATCAAACATACAAAAACAGAAAGTAACCTGATGTGCCTTCAATACCCCGTTCTGATTTGAAAGTGATCGATTCATCACCAGACTTTTTATCTGTATGCCCACTACTTCTCCACACCCCCTCATGATTATTTCGAAGCAAATACCAGATATTATCTCATCTGCAAATATTTGTACATGCATCTATAAAGCTACACCCATAATATTTCACTCTTAAGAAAAATAAATAAGTCCTGAATATCACCAAACTTCTAGTCAGTGTTTCAATTTCCCCATTTGGATCAAAAATATCTTTTGTTTTGAATAAAGATCCAAGTAAGGTTCGTACATTATGATTAGTTGATGTACCTTAAGTTTGTTTAATCTTATATGTACCTCTCTTTTTTTCCCTATTGTATTGTATTTGTTGAAGACCAGGTCTTTGTATAGTAGACTCTGTACATTCTTATAGTTGCTGGTGACATCCCCGTTAGGTTGTTTAAATGTGATTCTCTGTCTCCTGTATTTCCTGTAAATGGGTAGTTATATATTCTGCAATTGATCAGATTCAGGACAGTTTGAAGGAGGGGTGGGAAGTGGGGTAAAAGAATGGGTAGTTTTGTGTACTTCCCTCAGGAGACACACTGCATCTGATTGCCTCTCTTTGTGATATATTCAGCCTTTGGTATGTTATTGTCTGGATCTTTATTTAATTAGGGTTCAACGTCACTCTAGGATGTTTAACTGCAGGTAGAACCCTGGATTATCCCAGTTTTTTTCTTAGCATTTAGATGATTATATTCTTTGGGCTCTTTATTCATCTTAAAGTAATTGTATTTTCTGTTTGTCTCCTCTTTTTTGTCCCTCTTCCCTATTATTGCTTTCTTATAAATCATTTGACTTTTTTGAACTCAGTTTTAGCATATCTCCTGCAATATAGCTATCTCTTTATTTTATGTTTTTAGTGATTGCTCTGGTGATTACATAATATCCTTACCCTTTTTCATTGTCTACTTAGAGTTAATATTACAGTCTTACGTAAGATGTAGAAGCCTTACACATGTTTGGGGCCAGGTCCCAACTGTATTGCTGATGAACTTGGAATCATTTCAGGGGTCAGCATAGAGTGAGAGGTGGGAGGGCTACACGCTGCTGTTCAGGGAGTCTCACACAAATTCCTCGACTTGACTTGCTTGTTCTTTTTAAAATGTTATGGATTTTAAAAAGATAGATAACATTTTTAATGGATCCAGTGTTTTACCAGTTATGACTTGGATTAGATTTTCCTTAAAGTTTAGTTTTATTCACTAAGGGGAAGGAGGGCTTCTTCTGTCATGGGCACTGTCTGCATGTCTGACCCCAGCCTTTGGAAATGAAGAGCAGGCAAGAACGTGATTGGTTCAGGGCATCGAACCCTCTCTTGTAAAAATAACTCAAAACAACTGTACTTTTTCCAAAATGTAAGTTTCATATCTTTATTCAGTAATAGCTATGAAAAGTTAAATTTTAAGAACACATAGTTCCTGACATTGAAGAGTTTATGTGTCATCTGCTATGTAATTTAAAAATGAAAAACCTTATTTTATTCTCAGGCAGAAGTTAGTCCTTAGTGACAAGGACTGGGGTTGGATACTAATAGGATATTACTAGGAACATGGATGTTAGAGTGTTTTAGAAGCACACTATTGCTGCTATTTAATTGGAAAAGGAAACATCATCATGTTTTTGAGGGTAACTAATAATATTCCATTTTCCTAATATTCATTTTTTAAGGATTTTTTTGATTTACATTGTTAGATTTGCTAACAAATGATATTTGGCAAATTTACAGGAATGAAAATGTCTATGCAATTGTTTTTGTTTTATCTCTCTTCCTTTTAATATTGACAGGACTTAGTAGCCTAGCAGCCTCCTACTTGAATCCAGTAAAATCCTTTGTGCCACAGATGCCAAAGCTCCTGAAGTCTCTCTTCCCCATCCGCGATGAGAAGAGAGGCCGACAGCCGGCCCCGTCGCCCGTGGCACATCAGGTAAAAGCACCAGGAAGCAGCCAGGAAGGGTTTCTAGTAGACGGCTGGCAGACGGCGCCCTGTGTCGCGCTGAGGCTGAGGGTCAGGTGGACAGCGATGGGGGGCCACGAGAACCGGGCTGTTAGACCTGGTGAAGGCTGGTGGTCATTTTTCTCCAGAGATAACAGAGCTGTTTCAACTTACTGACAGTCTAAATCCTTTTTGCTTATAAAAAGTGCCGAGTATACTTCTAATGGGCTTTATGGTGATAGGACTTAGAGTAACAATAGTAACGTTTATGAACCCCACTTGGTATTTGTGTATTGCCAAACAGAAAATGTAATTCCATTTTTAATTCTTGATTTCATTTCTCATTTAAAACAATTTTATATCATCACTGTCCTTCCCTCTCACCCTCTTTTCCTCTCCTGTGGTTTACTTGCTGTTTCATTCAAAATATTAAAAATGATCCCTTGTCTTATTTCCCCATTTTCTTAACACTCTCTGTCCAGCCTTAGAACAGCTTTTTGGGAAAATGTTAAAGGATTTTCCAGATAATCAGGAAACTGCTCTTAGGTGATGGTTAATGAGAAGCCTGCTGGAAATGTAATTTCTAGCCTTACATAGGTGTGAAATCAACAGAAAATGTTAACTGGAGGTTTATTTATACTCATTCAAAAACACATACAGTGCAAGTTGTTGAAACAGGTCTTTAGACATCAGCGCCTCCACATACATATTGCAAAAATGCAGGTGACTCCTTGTCTGAGACCTTAACTGCCTTAAAGGATTTTCTAAGTTTATGAATGCATATTCAAGGACGGCTGCTGTACAGATGCATAATGTTTCCACTTTAGCATTATGTAATCAACACATAAGCATACATGCATACACACTAGATGGGAAAAATTAAACATCAGGATATTGGGAATGTTTAAAATAAATTTAACTAGGCATATAATGGGTGCCTGACTGTTATCAAAATGAATCTTAAGACTGTGAGAATTAGAAGAAAAAAGGAAATCTATTACTTGGTTGAGACTGGGGTAGCAAAAATGATTTTTCCAAGGTTTTGTTATTGCGTACGTTATTCTGTTCTAAATTTCTACATTGTTGTTTTACAAAAGTATGATTCATGGACCATGTGTATCAGAATTTCATGGTGGTTTAAAAAAAATATATACCCTGACCTCCTAATTCATACCCCACTTGGGAGTGCCTTATAATCTGAATTTTATAAGCACCCAAGGTGATTCTTATTCACATTAAACTTTGATAGCCATCATTTTTCAATTGCTTGTTGGTGAAGACAAAGTTATACAAGTTGAGGAAATTGGAATGGCATTAGAAGTCATTGAATCAGACTACTATCATTTATAATTATTTTTTAAAAGCTACTCTTGAGTTTTTGATATAGCACGTCAAACCACCTGCTACAATAAGAAATTAGTTTACTGTTTTGCCAATAAATGATTGGTTCTTCTGGACATAAAAGGAACGACAATGTATTAGAAAGAAATCTAGTTACTGGTAGATAGCTGCAATTTATAATGTCCAGTTAAAGAGAGGTGATCTTGAAATATTTTGATGGTGTCTTAAACAATGTTTAGTCATGCAATTTACCTTTTTTTAAAGCATATAGGAGCAAAGTGGCCCCCAAAATTTCATATTTTATAAGTAAATGAAATATAAATATAAAACCGGCTCTAACCAAGATGCTCAGTGGTGGAACTAAGTAGTCCAGTTGGTCTGTGAAGCCCCCACTCCACTGAAAGGCCTCTCGCAGGCTCGCCGGGCAGCTCTGTCATGCCTGCGCTGTCTGCGTTCTCCTCTGACTTGACGTCATGCTCCAGGCACTTTCATCTCTAGGCTCCGGTGCCGCCACACTGGCCTGGCTTCCCTTGTGCTGACTGCCGTCTTTCTCAGCTGCCTTTGCTGGGACCATTTATTCCATCCTGCCATTAATATTCAGGTGTCCCAGAGCTGCATGCTGGGCCCTCTTGCCATGGGGAATCACACTCGGTTCCATGACTATTTGTGCATTGACAGCGTTCGCATTTCTGTCTCCAGCCCCGATTTAGCCCCTGAGCTTTGTGGAGCTAATCACCCATTCACGTTTTCCACTTATATAATCAATTAGGCATTCACTTTACAAGTTCAAAACATTTCTGTTGCTTTCAGCTCACAAGTCTTTGCTCCCAGCACACAAAATATTTACAAAATACATGCCCTTCTCAGTATATAGCACAGATGCCCACCAGTCACTTACAACTCAACAAATAGTCCATCAGTAAATACTTGTAGGAGCCACTTCTGATCCAGTGACATCTAACCATCTCCGTCTCTCATCACACACCCGGATATGCCACGTCTCTCACAGTGGCTACTGCAGCAGGCTGCCAGTGAGTCACAGGCTGCCTCGCAAGGTCCATCATTTACAAACTAGCCAGTGTGATTCTTCCAGAGCCTTCCATCAGTTAATGGCTTGAAGCCTCCCACTGCTTCTCACTGGAACTGAATGAAATCTAAGTTCCTAACCATGGCTTACAGCATTCTATGTGATCTTTAGCCTTTATTCCCCATATTTTTCTCTTTGTTCACCATCCTAAGCCATACTGGCCTTTTTTTTTTTTTTTTTTTACTTTAGTCTCATGAACCTATGAAGCTTATTTTGATGTCAGAGAGAGTCTGGCACTTGCTTTTCCTTCCACTTCTGAGCCCTCCCCAGAGCCTCTGCCCAGCTACCAGGTCACTGGTAAAGTCGTGGTCTGCCATTTGAGCAGCCCAGAAAGGCCGATCGAAGGAAGTGCGTCTGAGTTTAAACTAAACTAAAACAACAACGTTCACAGTGCACGTTTTAAATATTACCATAATTAGGTTGCTCTTTGGGGGTTATCATTTGTGATGTTTATATGTAGTTCCTTGTTTGTCTCCCCTCTAGAATGCGATCTTGGCAGCCAGGGGAAAGTTGACACAAAAGGTGTACTGTCTGACTAGTGACATATATAAAGGTTCTAATACTGGACGGTTTGTATGTGTGGTGTCATCCAGTGTAAAGGACTGCATGCCCAGTTTAGAGGTGAGGGAGTCACGCCTGAGTGGCTATTTGAGATACAAGACTTTTCTGTGAACTTTCTTTCCTAGATTGATGTAAATTCTGCTGAAGAGTTTTCCTAAAGGAGGGAAAAACTTGAGCATATCATTTTGGATTTATGTGACCAAAGATGCTTGTGTTCATCTCATTTTTACTATCTCTGCTAAAGCTCTAACAGAAGAAAATTATAATTTTAAATGACAATATCAATATATAGTTTTCTCTTCCTAGGGTCACTCTAAATATACTTCAAGTTGTTACCACTTCGAGGTGTTTCAGCCTTGGAAATGGAACACTGTAGTATCAATGTAATCTCAAAATCACAGCAAGAACAATACCATGTTGGCCAGATACCACTAAAATGGTGTCCTATTCACTTACAAATCAGATTTGATACTTAGAAGTTAAGATTCTTATTTTTTTGATAATCTATCCTACCACATCTTGTGGAACCTCCCAAGTCCTCCAGGAAAAATGTCAGCTTATTTCCAACCAGCCTTTGTCTCAGAGTTTCCTCTGCTGTTGCCCAGGATTAAAGGGAGGGGAGGAGAGGTTCTCCCAGATGTAACAGCTACAGGTCAGCCAGCTGTGCGTCATAGAATAAGTGCTGCTTCCTCCTTCAGTTGTCTGGCCAGGTCCTGTCACAGAAGTGACACTGCAGTCCCTGTGCTTGGAAATAGCGCATCTGTGCTCTTTCCTCTGAATAATATACTTCTGCCAGAGGAGCACATGATCGAACTTTTTTTTTTCTGTTTCATAGAACATTTTTTTTCCTTTTTTTTATTAAGGTACATTGATATACAATCTTATGAAGGTTTCACATGAGCAACATTGTGGTTACAACATTCATCCCCATTACTAAGTCACCCCCACACCCCATTTCAGTCACTCTCCATCAGCATAGTAACATGCTATAGAGTCACTACTTGTCTTCTCTGTGCTGTACTGCCTTCCCTGTGCCCCGCCCCCACAGTATGTGTGCTGGTCATGATGCCCCTTCATCCTCTTCTCCCTCTCTCCCCACCCGCCCTCCCCTCCCCCTCCCTCCCCCTTTGGTAACCACTGGTCTCTTCTTGGAGTCTGTGATTCTGCTGCTGTTTTGTTCCTTCAGTTTTGTTTTGTTGTTACACTCCACAGATGAGGGAAATCATTTAGTACTTGTCTTTCACCCCCTGGCTTATTTCACTGAGCATAATACCCTCTAGCTCCATCCATGTTGTTGCAAATGGTAGGATTTGTTTTCTTCTTATGGCTGAATAATACTCCATTGTGTATATGTACCACATTTTCTCTATCCATCTACTGATGGACACTTAGGTTGCTTCCATTTCTTGGCTATTGTAAATAGTGCTGCGATAAACATAGGGGTGCATCTGTCTTTTTCAAACTGGAGTCCTGCATTCTTAGGGTAAATTCCTAGAAGTGGAATTCCTGGGTCAAATGGTATTTCTATTTTTAGATTTTTGAGGAACCTCCATATTGTTTTCCACAATGGTTGAACTAATTTACACTCCCACCAGCCGTGTAGGAGGGTTCCCCTTTCTCTGCATCTTCACCAGCATTTGTTGTTCTTTGATCATACTTTTTCTTAAGGCAAGTATTACCTCTTTGTGTTTCTGGTCAGTTAATGTTCCCGTTATTGATACTCTTGTCAACGCAGTTTTTCTCTTTTATTATTATGTTGTTACTTGATGTATAAAAATACTTAAATGAGGATGTTTAGACTCATTTCTAAAATTTTCATCTTGATTTTGTTCTGACATTCCTATGATATCAAGATTTTTTAAAAGTAGGTATTTGAGAAAGCATTCATTCTAGTTATCATTTGCAAACTTTAAGGGCATAGTTTATCTGTGTTTGAGTCATAAACAAAATAGTGACCATTACAGGACCAAGAGAGAGCCCCGCCACATAGACTAGACTTCAC